TGATGATGTTACCTAGTTGGGTAATGAAACGTCTCCAAGAAAACCACCAAACTGAGGGAACACCAAGGACCCCCACAACTGATAAATTATTGGTGAATGCAATTGATGAGGAGGGGGCTTTTCTCTTCCAGAAGATTTGCAAGAGCAAAAGGAGTAGAGAGGAGCTCTTTAGGCCTCAAAATAAGTCAGAACGCCGCTTTCAACCATTTAATACTTTTCGTTTTTATTTTCAAGGATACAAGTTTTATTGTCTTTAATTCCAGAACAAAAATAAATGCATAAACAAGAAAAGGGTTGGTTGGTTTTTACCCCCCCGCCCCCCAATAAAATTGTCCAGACTAAGAAAATACAAAGGACGGTTTTCATTCCATCTGAAGGAAGAGATGCCAGCACGCAGCCACGACGTTCAAACGGATTAGATATTTACAAAATGCTTATTCTTTTTCTCCCCCCTTGTCCCACTCCCAGTTCGGTGTTAAGATATATATTTTATTTTTCTTGTTTTCTTCAAGTGGTCCAGATGGGCAGAGGGATAACAGAAGGCAGAGAATAATGTGAAGAGAGGAATTTACAAGACCGGTTTAAAAAAAAATAGGAGAAAATAAAAACAAAACAGCACGAGGAGGCAGTTGTACGGAGATTACACCGAGTTAAGAGGGAAGGGAATAAAAAAAATATAGAAGCAATTTAAACAGTTAAAACGGGCTTCTCCAAACTTGGGCCGTTTTAAGGCACGTGGATTTCAACTCCCAGAATTCCTCAGGCAGCCATGTTTGATTTGAAGGACAAGATGGCTTCCTCCGCTTGGGCGAAGGAGGTGGAGTACGAAGATCCCTCTCTAGGATTTCCATCCTGGAGGATGAATTAGGGGTCCAGGCACCCCACAAGTCTATGGCCCCCATGGTCGGACGATGGGATCTTCATGTCCCAGGACTGTAGAGGCTGGTGCCGCTTATGGACTGAGCTCTCCATGCTGGCTGGGGAATTCTGGGAGTTGAAGTCCACGAGTCTTCCAAGGGCCCAAGCTTGGAGACCCCTGAACAAGACCCTTAGCCCTGCTGGACGCACTCTTGAGCATGGAGGAGAGGCTAATTTTTAACACAAAATAAATCCATTTATACGTTCAGGACTGTACGCAGCCACGTTAACTGGTCCCGGGGTGGAGAAGGCAGAAGAAAGATAGCTGGAATTGATCATGCTGGGAAGCCAGGAAGAATGATCCCATATAAAGAATTGGTTTTATTGATTTCTCTGCAACCCCCAACCCACCTGCCCCCCATTAAATTCCTCTTTCAACACTGGCCCATCCCTTAGTAAGCTGGGTTCAAATTTCTACAAAGGATAAAAGCTCTTTTTGGGGGGAAAGAGAGGCAGGGGGACATTCATTGTTTAATCAGGAAATGAGAAAATTCAAATACAACCCTTCCCTCACAGCTGCAAACCCACCAACCCTTTCAAAAATGGGGGGGGGGGGGGGGCTGGATGAAAAGGACCGGGGACGACTCCCACTCCCCCAAATTAAGTGCCTTTAGAAAAAATTGTGGGGAGCCACTGGGTTGGTGGGTGGGAGCCACGGCTTTTGCAACCCACCCTATTCACCCCACAGCCACAACCCTCTGGAAGGAAACGTAGAAAAACTAGCCTCTGTGGAATTTAGCCCAGCTGCCCGCAGCGAGAAAGCACAAAAACCACGTTTTAATTGCCAGGAGAGTGAAAAAGTTGGGAATATATCCCCCCCCCCCCCAAATAATCCGGTAGGATGTAGGTCCCGGGGAGAAAGGAAGTTTAATCTCCCAGTTTAATCCTGAATTTTTAAGGCAGTGTTTTTCAAGCTTGGCCCCTTTAAGAAAGGTAGACTACAATCCCCAGAATTCCCTAGCTGGGGAATTCTGGGAATTGAAGTCCAGCCCTCTTAAAGTGGCCACGGTTGAAAAACACTATTTCAAGGCCTCCAAATCAGCCCCAGCTTTCTCTTCAAGCCACGGATGCAGGCCCGTTTTTGCCGTGGGGGCTCAGCCCCTCCGTTACCCACAAGCCCCCAGTTTCTTTGGCAGAAGCTGGGACAGGCCCCCAAAGTGCTTCCTGGTTTTTTTGTGTGTCGTTTTTTGTCTGTAGTGTAGGCAGATTCGTTGGGGAGTTAACCTGAGCAGCTCAAAAGACAGGAAGCAGAGAACAGATGCGCCCACTGAGGATCTAATGCGGGGCCCTTCAAGATGGCGGCGGGTGGTGGAAAGGTTTGAGGTGGCTTCCTCTACGTGCGTGAAGGAGGTGGGGTGTGCGTTAAGTTTGCATCTTGTGGAACCCAATTATGGACCCAGGCATCCCATAAGTCTCTGGTCCCGTGGTCGGAAGGCGGATCTTCCCGACCCAGGGACTGTATAGAGGTTGGTGTTCGCCAAAAAGTATGGTCCAAGTTGGGCCATCGAGACTCAAAACACTGAAGAAACGTCAGATCCGAGTCCTTCCGATCACCCACCATTTTGGACACTCGACTGACAATTCCAGGAAATCGATTGGTGATTTCTGGGCGTGGTGGTCAGACCTATGTGGGAAGGTCATTGGTGGTCAACCTGCTTCAGCAGAAGCTCAAGGAGAACTTGGACAAGGAGAAGGGCCCTGGTGGTGGCGGTGGAGGAGCCCATCCTGTGGAAAGGCAGGCGGCGGGTTTCCTTATCAAAGGTGACGCAAGGCTTGGAGCTAGCACAAACAAACACACACACACACACACAGAGAACACACAATCCCCATTGACCTCAATTCTCTACACCAGCCACCATTTTCCTTGGTGGTCCTGGAGATGTTCCGAAACCCACGAGGAGGACACAGCTGAACCAGTATGGAGAAGAGGAGCACCTTACACCCAACGGAAGCAGTTTTACGGCCTCTTTGTGCTTCTTAGAACGCCCCCCCCATCCTGTCACACCCCCAAAGGGGTCTAGCCGCCCGGCTTGACTACCGCCTCCGGGACCGGCCCTTGGCACCCTTCCCCCCCCTCCCCCCCCAAAATAGCTTCCCACCCCCAACCCCGAAGGGGGGAAAATTAGTGTCAGGTACATCCCTGGAATGTAAGGAAGGAACAACTCCATCCCCGGGCGTTGCGTTGGTCAGCCGGGAAGGGAGGAAGAGGAAGAGGAGGAGGAGGAGGAGGGAGGAGGATGGAAGAACCACGGAGAAAGGCCGCCAGCCATTTTCACTGAGGTAGTGGAACGAGGACCTCCACGTAGTTGAGAGGGAAGAAGCCCGACTGGCCGTGGATCATGCCCTCGTACCAATTCTCGTCGATTTGGTTGGTCAGCGTGATGATATCGCCTTCTTTGAAGCCCAGCTCGCCGTCGTTCTCCGGCTCGAAGTCGTACAGCGCCTTGCAGCACGGCTGGTCCAGGTGTGGGGCTGGAGGGTTGGGTGGGGGGAAGAGGAAAGGAGGAGAGGTTAGCCGACAGGTGCCCTTCCATCCACGGGCTTCCATCGACATCCCCAACCACAGCGACAAGCCGTTGGCTGTCAAAGCGCACGGAATGCTGGGACTTGTAGTTCAATGGGGGGGGGGTGATTTTAAGAAATTTGAAACATACTTGAATGAATGTATGAATAAATAACTAAATAAAAGATGGCTGATTTCAGATCTATGAAATATAATTGAATGAGTGAATGAATGTAAGAATGTATGAATAAATAAATAAATGA